TATTTAACCCATAGCTGGAGGGGGAAGAGTTATATTCATACATTTCCCAAGGGTATTTGCTCATAAGGTATTATAACGAACTCGACTGGATTTGGATCTCGGCTGGATTTGGAACTCGGCTCTCAGATTACCAATTCCGAGTCGTTGTTTATTACAGCACCCGCATATACAAGCTGCTATTCCGAAGCGGTCACCCATCTGGGTACTGACCAGGCTCGACGCTGCACAACGAGAATCCATAACATTAGAATCAGATATCTAATAATGATGTCTAATGATGGGAATTGTTCTTTAAGTCTGTTGAAGTGCTGTCGAAACCTGAGTTGTATTTTTTTTTTTTTTTGTTTTGCTGATGGAGAATTTGCAATCTATCGTAAATATGATTGTCTTATAGTTCTCGTTTGAATCTGTAAAGTGTGGGAAATCGGTTGAGTGTTCCCGGAATGATTTCCTCTTCTCAGATCACGATAAGATGGTGTGTTAATTTACCGGAGAAAAACATATCACTGTCGAGAAACATAACTAAGACAAAGGTCTGACCGTCTTTCATATTACATATCTTTTCAATACGCCACGACCCTGGCTGTCCACAACCATTTCACCCTATTACCATCGCTCTTTTCACGCAACCTCATTCACTAGATTACTCGCCGTTTCCTTATGTCATGTGAGTGTCATATTCTCCAAGGCTACTTTTCTTCGTTATCTATCCTCGAATATTTTATTACGGTTTTTAAATATCTTTCTATTCTGTATGGAATTTTCTTAAAACTTCCTTTTTACTCTCATGTTAAATCAATGGCATATTCATTATTAATTGTTAGAATCATATTTTTCAAAATAATCTCCTTCTGTGTTAATGCACTTATTCCAACGCTCCCCTATTAATCGTAAACCTTAAACGTAATAATTTCAAATCAAATGTCAGTTATTTTCACAAAATACGCTTTTAGATGCGTAAGTGAGATTTACAGAAAGTAAAAAGAAAATTATATATATAGAAAGTCATGCTAGCTGGAGCTTATCAGTTGCAATACAGTTAGAATGATCGAAAATCAATTGGCTGTCATTAAAACTTTCCGATAGTATCCAACACAGCCAGCAGCCAATCACAATCATTCGGAATTAGTATGTGATTCGCGCGAAGCAAGATGCCATTCGCGTCAGTTTTGATTCATTCAGAATACACCCTCAAGGAAAATACCTTGAGGTATTAGTGAGGGGAGAGAATTAAGTAAAAAAAAAAAAAAAATAAATAAATTTCTATCTACGCGGCAAATTTACGGACAGATTTTATAAATATTTATTTTCAGGCATTTCCACGGCATAGAATTCTAATTTATTTTGGATTTTTATTTGTTGTTTCTATAGGGCAACCAAACCACAGAGAAAAAAATATCTCACACACTACGGGAGTTTCGATGTTGAGCGCCTAAACAGGTTTGGCATTGTATAAAGTAATCTTCTAAAAATGTTGAAAAGAAATAAAAATTTGACACGCCTGAGCAACCGTTCTCCGTTGGTTTAAGGGTGCCAGTTTTCACGGTAGCTAACCCATGCCTTGTGACTCACGCTCAAATTTTGCCAGAGAGTAGATTTTTTCTTCAAATATTTTTCTTTGACATTTGACCGGTAGAAAATAAATAAATATACTGTTTAATAAATAAACGGAGCGGCTAGCCGAATAGTAATATCCACTAAAAATAACGTTGATAAAAATAAAATTGATATATATATATATATATATATATATATATATATATATATATATATATATATATATATATATATATATATATATAGGATATATATATATATATATATATATATATATATATATATATATATATATTATATATATATATATATATATATATATATATATATATATATATATATATATATATATATATATATATATATATAGGGTATATCAAAAATACTTGGATGGTAATGGACGCTAGGTTGCACGGCTGTATTAGATTCCATACCGTTAGGCAACCGAGGAATCCAAACATTGCTTCTGTTTATCGTCCCTTTGCTAGGACAAGATCCGTGGAAGCACCAACTATGCATCAAGGACGACCGACATCTTACTTAAGGAATAACACATCATCACTAGAGAAGTTTTGCAAATAGCTTACTTTCTCCCGAATTAAAAAACAAATTTCTCTAGTTGATGAAAATTTCTGGAAGAAATGCACCCCTCAAAAGTGGGGTTTATCATCCATTAATGCATTATAGAAACAGAAAGGTAGCTCACAAGACCCTCTCACATACAGAGGTATGTCAGTTGGATCCATCATGGGGAAAGTATGAATGAACATCATATTAACAAGGCCTTTATCGTTTTATGAACGTCAACTCCTCACGGCCTGGTTTGGTATTCGTTATGGTTCGGGATGCAATGGTAGCATATATGTCCTCAAACAACACCAACAGAGTGTTTACCTTCCTAAAAGAAAACTGTATACCTGCATTGTCGACTTCACCATGAGCATATGTCCACATCAATAGAGATTTCCTCTTCTCGTCGATTAGAAGCTGCCTCCCAAGGTCCGAATCCATTGAAAGCCTCGATATTATAGATGATCTGTATCGATCTACAGAATCGTACATGTTTGGCAAGCGCCCCAATATGGAAACATTTCAAACCTTATCACGAGTAAGGAGTAGGAAATCTTAATCTCTTCCTAGACTATGCCCTATACGTTTACAAGCACCTATGTGATGAGAATGGAAACTATCTATACAGTTCATACTACATCTCAAATGAGTCTAAAAATAGATGACGACAAACCTGCTGTTTCTCCAGATGCCAATGTATTGATGATGAAGGTATCTATGGTGATTACATAGGTGTTCATAGTTGGATAATAATGATTTTGAACAAAAAAAAAATCAGCTTCCCCCTATCAAGTGTTCCACGAAATGAGACTCAAGATAAGGTTTTTCAATCAGAAACTATGATCTGATATTGGAATAAAAACAGTGCTGGCTCCCTAAACTAAATAATATCAAAAAATTTCAGGGTATGGTTCAGTTGTAACAGATTAAGCAATGGAGAAAAGGAAATCGAATGTGGTATAGGCTGCACGAGAAATAGTTTCGCTCTACATCGAAAATGGTTACAAATTAAAACTTCAATTTAAAAACTAAAATCTAGTCTCATCAGATCAAGAATGTGATATGGCGTGCACGGCACCAAACCTTTTCAGATATATCTAAACTCAGTTTTTGTTATATTCCGTGCTAAGGGAATAAATACTTAACACCAGGTTCATACATTCTTTACATTATTCGGACTATTGTCTTCATCTTTGTCGCCATATTTATTACAACGTTTCGACTGTTGTACGTTCCGGCCTTCTTCAGATGGTTGGAATGTCGAACTGAACCCTTTATTTCGCTCATCGGGGTAGACTGTTCTAGTTCTCCAAAGACACATTGCACAGTGGATAAAAGCGTTGTTTAGATCCAGTGACAGGTCCCAAAGAGTGTGAGTTCAATACCCGGTTAAGGCAGTGGAGAACTTTCAGAGGGAAATTAACAGGAGATAACTGATAACTGACATTCATCAAACATGGTACGTGGAATTAGAACAGTCTACCCCGGTGATCGAAATAAAGGGTTCAGTTCGACATTCCAATCACCTGAAGAAGGCCGGAGTGTACAACGGCCGAAACGTTGTGATAAATATGGCGACAAAGATGAGGACAATAGTACGAATAATGTAAATAATGTACATAATACCTCATCTCAGAAATATAGACAGACCAGGTTGATAACAGAGGAAAAGTTTATTGTACACAACAAGTACAATATGAAATACGGTATAGTTATACACACAGGTTAATCTAGTAGTGAGTGCCGCTAATTGAAAGGTCGGGCGTGCTTGCGTCGTCTCGCTCTCACTCTTCCCCGAGTCTCTCCTAGACAGTTGGATTTATAGGTAATTACTGCTATAGTGTAATCATTCGTGGGGGTGCCGGGTTATTGCATTACATCAATTTTATACAACCACATTCTAAGATCAATGGTTAAAACTGGCTTTGTGTAAGTCAAGTCTGAGAGTCTTGGCAAATGATATGTTTCTTCGAACATTGGGGTCTCGTTCGACATATTCACGAACAAAGAATTGTGACAAATAACAGAAACAGCATCAATTAAGAACTATCTACCTCAACTAAATTGATACTATATGTAACTAGAAAAGAAAATAATGACTTTATCACGATTTTATTATTCAACACTACTTTAAGTAAAAGGTTAAAAAAATCATCTATATTGTAAAGAGCGATAAAGGGAACTGGACTTGAAAAACATGTCTTTAAGAAAAGTAATTTACAAAATTCAAAGAAAAGAAATACTGGCTGCTCGCTCAAGGAATGCCTTATAAGGTAACGAATACCATCACTATTATCATATACATATAAAACACTTTATCTAAATAATTTTGATCTATTCGGAAGAGTTCGACTATTAATATAAGGCAGCCAGGAAACACATATCAATATGGAAAGATTGAAAACAATTACTAAACTTAAGATTTATTTTAAGGGAAAGATTTTATAAATGTAAACCTAAAGCAGTAATAGCTGCTCAGTAAATGAAGGCTAAATGTTTCCTTATAAAGAAGCGGCTAATATTACCATTAGCATTAACGACAAAGAGCAAACACAAGCAGACCTGAATATATCATTCACTTGTTCGACTCTCCTTTTTGGTATTTACCTGACTGTACATGTGGAAGTATTATTTTCTGCCAAAGTGATGTACATTGTATGAATGTTCTGTCCAAAACAGTCGATCACGCAAAATCAAGTTGAGAGACGAAAATTTTATTTCTAAAGAGAAACTCTTTACAAATGAGATTTGTCACCCAATAAAATCGAATGGGGGTACATCATAATGACGAAATGACACGAAACTGTCTATCGATTGACCATTTCGTTTAAAGAAATTTGGGAGATGTATAGATGAAAAACACATATAGTGATTCAGAGAGAAATAGACAGATTTGACGTCAATAAAATTGATAGATAGATAGATAGATAGATAGATAGATAGATAGATAGATAGATAGATCTGAAGAGATTGAGATAGGTGAAAAACCTAGATATAAACTGATTGCGATAGCTAGCTGGCCAGATAGATAGATATGAACGGATGGAAATTGGTAGATTTGTACAGGCGCAAACCGACAGAGAAACGATCTCTCTCCATCTCAGTCACTTCGTATCTGAGTTTAGAAAGCTATATCTCTTTTCCTCTCCTCTCTGTCTCTTACATCAGATCATTTTCTATATCTAGTTCTCTCCATGAATCTATCTATCTATCTATCCCATGCGTTTTTAAAAAAACATATCTTGGACCCACCATGCTACTTACATTGTAGGGAACAGCCTTCGTTTCCTTTGTATTCCATTTGTGAAATGTAGTTTCCATTTGAGAAGCTACGTCCCGCGAGCCGCTGTACTGTTTACATGCTGTTTCCCAGATCATTACAATCTTTGACTGTTCAAGTCTAGGAAAAAACTGTGTGTCTTACGCTATAAGCCTCTACCTTGAGTGGCTTCCGGAGTTGTACAGCGTGAACAAACTGTAAAAAATCCGTCGATAAATGCTTATGGAGGCCGAAATTCCTCCGCTATTTAAACTTTCTGAAAGAAGAAAAAGAAGAAAAAATTGATTGTTCAATATGAAAAACTAAACATTCTTAACGAGGAACTCTCTTCTGTATTTAAGCAAACTTGTATGAACGAATAACATACTTATGTAGTGTAAATACAATTAGAATTTTGGACAACGTGCATTGAAACTGTTTTGTGGTTAACTCTATCGAAAATCTGTCTCAAAGTTTGCGTACTCTTGTCTCTGTCTTTGTAAAGTCGGAGATGAAGATGGATATACTTTGTAACCTAGGGAAAGTTACTGAATAGAATGATCGCACGAAAGTTGGCAATGAACGATAATACTTAGGGCAAGAACGACACATATAAGATTCGCCAGCGGCGCGTAGAAGAAGTAGTCAACTGCTAGAAGTGAGTCAAGTGAATTCCACAATGACTCTGCAACAGCAGGATATCCACCAACCACCACATGCAGTCAGATGTGGCACAAAATCGAATTTAATTTGGGGTATCCGAGCCCGTAGACTCGCCCACAAATTCCCCGTAGACCGCGTATAAGACGGAGTCGAGTAGCTGTTTCCCAAGACGAGATTCTACCCTTTGTTGTGGAGTAGTTTTCACAGTGGAGGCTTGTATTTCAATGAGTCGTTCTAAATTAGGTTCGACGTACAAAACGTTAGGAACTTGAAAAATAGAGTTAATGACGCAGCAATCTAGTTGTGACGGTTGGTACTGCAATGTCCGATATCGTCTGACTTGCTGAACACCACTGAGACGGTCTGGCGACCGCTACTACTACTTATTACTCATTATCTGTGGGAGAGTTCATTACAATAGAATAGGTAATATGGCATGACACCTTTCGACATAGCCTAGTCTGGGGATCCTCTCGAGAAGCAGAGAGTTTGACCAGCAGAGCTGAAGTCGAATCTCCAATTGCGGGATATCTAGCAACCGCACCACGCGGTCAGATGTAGCACCAGGTCGAATTTAACTTGGGGTATCCGAGCCCGTAGGCTTGTCTAAAAATTCCCCGTTGATTCCGTATGAAACAGGGTCGGGTAGCTATGTGCCGAGACAGATTCTGCCCTTCAAGATAGACTCCTCTGGGGATTCTCTCTGCCCGGAGGCAGAGAGTTTGACCAGCGCAGCTGGAGACGAATCTCCAATTGCAAACCAACATACAGTATTTACTATTGAATTTTATATGAATGGTGACCTAGGTATGCTACAACACTTTGGTAGACAGATATTCAAGAAATCTATTAGCAAAAAGTTATCGAAGGAAACAGAGAAAGAGAAATAAATACAACTTTTAAAAGAGAGAGAGAGAGAGAGAGAGAGAGAGAGAGAGAGAGAACTTTTACATATAATTGTGTGCAATAAAAAACCCTGAAGCTTTCAAAGTTCTTAATCGAAGCGACGACTGTCCGATATAATTTGTCGTTCCAAGCGCAATTTATATGCGTTTGCAAACGCATAACCTTGGTAAAAAGTAATTGGCGATACATTGTTACACGCAATGTCATAAATAAGCACGCTTTAACTCACATGAAAGCAGCCAAATTCTAGCAGACGACTCTTGGGCATGTCATCTTGAGACGGACAAGAATCAATGATCAATTTAATTATGTGCGAAATATGATGACGCAACGTCTCGGCAAATTCGTTATTTGCTGAGGAAGCTTTTATAAGTCGCCATTGAAAATAGGTGTTTTCTTGCATTTCCTCAAAAAAAAAATTATAAGTTTTAAATATTTAAATGAAAACCTATTCAAAACAGAATCAGATTAAGTAAAAATAGATTTTCTATATTTGACTAGCAGCATGGCCCGGCGTTGCCCGTGGTTGATTCAAAAATCGTACGACTCATACACCAATTGCTATCACTTGACTTAAAATATTTTTGCCCTTCCTTGCCTTTAAAGGAGTGCCCTTTGCCGTGTTGATGTTGCTACATGCCTATCTCACAGTGCGAATTTTTTCTAAGCTCTATACTAAACATTAAATCTGGTACGAAAAAAGAACTAAACAAAATGAACACAAAACGATCAGCTTTAAAAAAGAACTTGTAACTGGAAAAACCGAAGGAAAAAAGAATGTTAACAACAAATACTTTATCACACCCAAGTTCTGCGGAATCAGAATCAACGTTGAGTTTAAGCAAGCGAATGGGCCAATTGGAGTAAAGTGCCATGCAGATTTAAATTTTTCCCACTTATGACGAATGCAGCTATCGATTTTTTTTGCATGCCAGCATGCTAGTTAACATTCGTGTCAGTCAGCTGTTGGCTCTCACGCTGGCCAATAGAATCTTCCTGCCTATTCGTACAAAATGGCCGCAAACTGCATGAAAACTGCTGTAGAAGCATGGAAAAATCTATTATTTCCACTATCTATCGGAGTTGGGAAACGCAAAGTCGGTCTTGGCCTTCCCGCTAACTTCGAGCATGTGCATGTAAATTTTGGTGCAAATCCGTCGAAAATTGCGGCTGTGAATTCGTTACACACACACACACACACACACACACACACACACACACACACACACACACACACACACACATATACATACATACATATCCTGTCTTTTATAGATAGAGATTGGGCAGTAATCTGAGGTAAGTGAAAATGGCTCCTTCTACTTCTTCATGTGCCGTGTGCCCTCAGGACGTCGGCGATCATGGCTCTTCGCAATTTCCTTTCATTTTTATCACTTATAAAGTTTGTCGTTTTTTATTTCTCCAAAACCCATTTCTGATATCCATTTATTTAAACTCACTAAGTAGATTACGATCTTTTTCCTCTTGACAACAATCTGTCTTTTGTGTATCAGATTTTGAAACCCGGCCTGAATGTTAGGGAAAAATTATTAAAGAAACAATAGCGCTCTCTTGTAAGAATCAAACCTCAGGATTTGGCATTCAGGACAGAGGGACGTAGGTTCGATACCAAACGACAAACGCAAATTTTTATTAATAAGATTTCTCTAACATTCAGGGCGATAGTTGAAAATAAATAAATGTACTCTTTAATAGATAAGTTTCAAATATGAGCATACACCAAAAAGAACGTTTAAAGTGATAAAAGTGTCCGATTTAGAGAAATCCATTTTAAATTCGCTTTGTTTACGTTTGGATACGAAACTCCGTGCAGGTATGCAAAGAACAATGGAAAATTTCGCTTGAAAAACATGAAACTGCCTTCGCCTGATCGACTGCTATTCGTGAGCATTCCGTAAGACATACTGGGCTAAATGGTAGCTCCCTCTGGCCTTTAATAAGATTTCGCGAACATACAGGCCGGTAGATAAAACTAAACAAATATATCGTTTAATAAATAAACCGAACGCCTGCACAAATAAGTGTATCCACTAAAAATAACGTTCAAAGTGATATATATATATATATATATATATATATAGTTAAACCTAGAATTTAGAAAATCAAGGTTTCACCTAAGCGGATCGTCAGGAAAGGCTGGCTCCCTGACGATCCGCTTAGGTGAAAACTTGGTAGGTTTGTCTGGCTCTCTAGGTTTAACTAGGTCTGCTGTACTCATTGTATTGACCACTATATTTAGTTATTTTGCCTACTCGTATCGTTCTTTTTTCTTTGGGCTTTGGGCTTGCATGCTGGACGATTATTTTCGGCTAACGTACATGTTCTTGTTTCTTTCTTTTTTTATAATTTTTTTCCCTTTGCTATTGGTTTGTTTATTTGCAAATCAAAACACTTTTTTTTCCGAACGAATATAATTTCTTATACTTATTATTACTAATATATATATATATATATATATATATATATATATATATATATATATATATATATAATTAATGAAAAACAGACCACTTTATGGTAACATTACAATAATTTATTTCATGAAAATCCTTTTTGAACGACTCCGGATCATCAGGTAACACTTCCAACAACGAAATGAAAGGAAAAATGGGATTAGAAATTGATGGGTAGTGTAATTTTTGTAATTTAACAGGGAGGGTGATAGTTGTAGTTAACGAAACAAGGTAGAGTATAGGGAGGGGTTAATTTCATATTTCTCTTAAGGATGTTTTATATTGGGGTAGGAGGAGTGACCTAATCGTGACCTATTTAGATGGTTAACTTAACGGAAATGATATATAGGAATGGGAGGGTAGTTAAATAGGAAAAGAAAATGAAAAAATGGAAAGGAGAGAGATAGACAACAATAATACAGATATATATATATATATATATATATATATATATATATATATATATATATAAATGTGTGTAACAAACAACTGTCCACCTACAGATTGTTTAATATCTAAAAACAGTAAACTAAGTTTCTTTTGTTTTCTGTTTTTTCCGTTAAGAAGTTTAGCCATCTTGACACAATTTTTCGTACAAATCACTGAAAAGCCCTTTGAGGTATTCAGTTAAAAAGAGAGCATTTTCGTATTGTTTTGTGTTAGTTTCACTGTCTTTCCAACTGAGCAATGGTGAAAGGAAAATGATCTTTCACGTCTTCATTACCAACATTCATACTCTGGCTTCCATCTTCAAAGTTCATTCAAGAACCATCAAGAGAGCGGTGAATAATTTACAAAAAAGGAGGAACAATAGAGAGAAAAACTGGATTATCAGGTCACAACAGAAAGAGAGATCATCATTTCAACTTGGAGCTAAAGAGCTCAATTAGAAAAGTTCTAAATCAATTTATAATACGTTTCAAAGAGAGAAGTTTCAGCTATGACAGTCCAAAGAGCAGTGTAAAAAGACTTGAAAAGGAAATATAACGTGAAACGTGTCAGGCAACTTGTTACTCCAGCACAGAATGTCAGAAGTTTATATATTTGGTTGGATAGATGTGAGTTTGGGACCCTGGGTTTCACGCTTTAGCGATTGTCTGACGATCGCTAAAGCGTGAAACCCAGGGTCACAAACTCACATCTACCCAAACAAATATACATTTTATCTCTGATATTGAGCACTTTCTAATAAGTACTCGAGGTATATAACATATAAATAATTATACATATATATATTTATTTATATTTATATACACTTTTCACACACACACACACACACACACACACACACACACACACACACACACACACAATACACATATATATATATATATATATATATAAACTTGATTTCAATATTTCATGAGCTTCCGATCCTTATCTATGATTAATTAATAAAGAACGTGTCATTTTTGTTTAGGATCTATTTCATCACGATACTTCTGTTAAGCTTCGAGAGTAATTATACATTCTTTTTGTTCAAAGTATAGTCCAATAGTGAGATAAATACCTCGGATAATTCCAGTAAGATATCTTTAATCATTTCTAAGATACACCGGTTCAAACCTTAAAAATTGGACAATTTTGCTGTTTCAAGATTTGGAAAGTTTTTTTTTGTTACACCCGGTATGTGTATCTGTGTATGTATGTCCTCTTCCTTATTGAGTTTAAATCCCTCTCTGGGGGTATAGAACTGTTCCCACACCATCCTATTTGTTGCTGCCGTGGCTTCTATATCAATGAAATTTTTACGAGTTGGCGTAACCAGCTCCACACGAAAGTTTTTATGACATCAGAATTTTCTTCCTCTTAGACTGGTTGGAAAACAAGGCTAATGATGAAGAGCCCATTGCTAGTTGGATAAAATATATTAGTACCTTTCCGAAAGGTATAGAGGAGAATGGAATGGTAGGAAACATAGTCGGATTTGAACTCAGATCGCCGATTCCTCATTCTACGCCGAAAACCATATCGCTTAGAAAAGACTGATATGAATGAGGAAGAAAAAAAAAAGAAATTAAACTACTCATTTATTACATAAATCTAAAATTCTTCAACAGGATAATCAACGATTACATTTACATAACAAAAACTCAAATGCCCAGTTGGAGAATACTCAGTCAAGTGCCATACTGCTTAGGCGATCATGTCTCTTTCGATATATGACTGCCGAAGCAGAAGGTTTTTCCCGCCTTAGTTTGCCATTCATTTCTGCGGTACACTAGTTGCCAACCAAGGCTGAAGAACCCATAGTGGGGGAAAAGAAATGGTTTCATACCTTTCTCAAGGGTTTTTTGTTGACCATGTTCGCCAAGTCGATGAATATAGAATACAACGCAGTACGTAATCTGTTCAATAAAACAAAGTAAAAGATTAATACTTACGAGTCAGAAACTCTACTGGATCTGACTATATCGCCAATACCACCACCACCACCAGCTGTTCTGTAATTCTTTAGTCTTCGATTTCAAAGGCTGCCAGTGAATATTCGGAAAAAAAAAACATGGCCGCCGTTATACACGTCGCATTGAATATTTTGAGCCTTCTGATTGGTTAATCCTCCTATTGGGGAACTATAAAATGAGTCAGATCATTTTGGTTGGCTCACTAGTATGAGGGTACCCAAAAATTCCAACATTTTTGTGCGTAAGTGAATCTAATGAACTCAACTGAGATTCGAGATAACAACTACACAAAAACGCAATAAGTATTAAAAAAAAGATGCATTAGTCACAATACTACAATTTCGTCAAACAAAGATTTAGTGATAAAAGTCTTAACCCGTAGATGTGTGAGCGAAGAGATGTCGATTCCAATCTTGCACAAGGATATTTCTCCACAATTGAATATAACGAACTCAACGGAACTGAAACTTGCCTCTCCGATTAACAATCCCGAACCTCTATCCGTTATCTCGACGTTGACCGTACGGAAACTGGTGGCTGTAAACATCGAATATTTGATCAGATGCGCTTGATTGAACAAATATCTACAGGAAAATATTGATTTTATATATTTTGTTTATGTTTTATTAAAAATAAATTATCCAATTGATTCTCAAGCGTTTTTAATAGTTACACAATTGCGCCGCGTTAAGACTAAACCACTGCATCATTATTATCCCCACTCAACAAAAAGAAACTTACAATCTAAAAAAAAAAAATTCTGGCTTTAAATAACCTCCAGACGATTCATAAGCCGTAGAAAACAAATCAATAAATCAATTTCAGCAAATACGTTCATAGCAACTGTTTTAATGAGGTTTTTATTGTTTACTGCATTGACTGCATGAATTTTATCGTGGTATTAGATTGGCAACTAGGCCTCATTTTTTTTATTTTTGAACTTCCCAGATGCAACCGTCTCTTCTATTCTAAGAGCATTTTTCTCTCACTTTTCGTTTGTAGATCTCCATTTCGATTTCTAGCTTCTCAGCCACTTACAATCTTCAAAAATTTAAATGCCATTTTGTCTTCTTGAACATCGTTCCTTTATTGTACTTTTCCCACTACTTTCCTCACTGGCCCTCGCTAAAGTCTCCTCGTTCTCTTCTTTCCTGTAACCCTCTGAGAATTAGTGACATTAATTCCTTGCATGGGATAAAATGATTAAACAATTAGTTTTATTTCATTAATGGCAATGGTAAGGGTTGTCGTTTCCTTATAAGACAACATTCGGCATTCATTAACAGAGTCGATAGAGCCATTTTCATTTTTGAATACATCGTGATGAAGAATGTCTTTTGTAAAGCTTTTAGTACTCACCTGATATCCTGCAAGTTTGACACTGAGCCCAACCCAGTTAAATTTAGCTATTTCTGTCTTGTTAATTACTTTTCTTTTATTGCCCCCGCCCATCTCCTTAATAATATTTATCTTTTTCTTATATTCCTTCACACTCAGTAAATTCCTTGTATCTTAGTAGCTTTTTTTCCTTGATTTAAGTTCAATGATTAAAAAAAAAAATAAATGTTTATCTGCATTGTAACGTTCAGGTTTATGAACTAGCATTTTTCTACGTCGTTCTTAACAGAAATAAACCTTTTCCCCCATCACCGACATTCCTTGTGTTTAACTGATATTTTATAGAAGCGTTTCCATATCTTTGACGAATTTAAATCTTCCTCGTAACAAAATGCAAAACAAAACCTGGACCATCATTTATATGCATTCGATATAGGCCCTTGAAGACATTTGATATCGCCGTGAATTGTAAGTTTTCGTTCTACACGATAGAAGAACCCAAACAATTCGATGGATTTCTTAACAAAGAACTTGAAAAACAAAGTACGAGAAAGTCCGTAAAAAATGGTTCTCATTCCAAAAAGATCAATACGGATTAAATTCCAGGACATTTTTAACCCATTCCTCGGCAATTATTTTAGGAAAAACCTTTCATTTTTAGACGAATGTTTTAATTTGTTTTTAATATAGGAAGAAATTGATTCATTTCAAGTTCACACGGACATGAAAAGAATCAAGATCGATGTATAAACACGTCTTTAGTTGGTTTTTGAACGTTGTTCTGAACATGCTTATTCGTCCGTGTCTCAAAAAGACACTTTCGGTAAAAAAAATAATGTATAGACATCGTCGCTAGAGGAGAGGGTTTAATTCAATCTTTTATCTTTTCTTTTAAAAGGTTCAGTGAATAAAATTCGTATCGTTCAGTCAAATTGAATTATCTGAGGCATCATTTTTTTTTACAATCTTAGATAACCATAATATTACGGCTTATAACAGATTTAGTTGTTCAAAAGAAGGAAATTAACCTAAATTCTACCCGTGAATGCTCACCTTTCCGTAACCATTCATAAATTTCCGGAAAATTCCAAAGATTTACTAATTCAGGGGTTCTCACATCGGACTACGCTGCTAGTGGCCATATTCCAGGCAGCGGATATTATTAGGTTGGTGCAAAAATAATGACGTAAGAATGTCGTTTTTGACGTTAAAATACGTCAAAAACGACATCATTACGTCATTATTTTTGCACCAACCTATTAATATAACTTCCTGTTTGAAGAAGAAAGACGATGATTCTGTGGACGATAACCGTGTGTGTCTTACCCCGGATCATGCTGGAATAAAATTCACACCAGATCAGGCAGATTTTACTTAGACATATCTCGGCCGCCGAATTTATAATTTTAATCATTTCACCCCGAGAAAGCAGATAATGCCACTAAGGTGCAAGTGGTTACTGGTAGTAAAAATGAATGAGAAGACTTTAGAAGGAAGCGGAAACCCAATCCTAAACAGGAAACAAGGGAGGAAGCTCTACTCCTGTTCAACAGCTGGGGAAAGAGTGTCGACCGGGTGATCGTTGAAAACAATCTACTCCTACGGAGAAGCACATAAAAGGAGAATATAGGGTCGGATTAGGGCGCGAGACTGCACTTCAAAAACTGGCTCAGAGTAACTAGCTGCCGAATGGAGAAGTACGTGACCTCATACCTGTAACCGTTTTGAAGCATGCGAAATATTTATAATACACGCGGTTATATTTTCAACCTATACAGAGAGGACTAGAGAATTATCTCTTACACATCACAGGAGAATATAGGACCTGGGTGCCAAACGAGGGCGAGGCCAAATGTAGATGTAACGTGTTATATTATATGTAAGTCTAAATGTGAAAGTTTCGTGTGTAGTCCTATCATTTCACGGATACACCCACTTCATTACACGACCAGGTATTTACGAGGGGTTGTAAAGTTATCTCCACTCTTGTGTGAAGACTTGTTTTGGCGAAAGTGCAGATAATGTTTGGATTATTCTCGTAGATGACGTCGATGGGACGATAATTTTTGCTCTTTCTAAACATTTCTCATGATATTTAAACGTTGTCTAATATCCTGATCATTAAGCATTATTATAAATTAAACGTCTCCGGGAAAAGTGAAATAATAGACAAGTGTTAATCACAATGTTCATTGTTATAATTTCAATATTTTGTATTGTTCTGTTTTTATTCTTATTTTCGCACTACTTTCTATGCAACAATGTGTATTTCATCATCAAAGAAAAAAATATATTTTGATCAGATGAATTTTTCAATTCCTGGTTCAATGTCATTTAATTGCTGGAAGTATATGGAGTAAAACAGATGTTATTGCTGTAAGCACAGAAAAGATAAAAGAAGTTATTGCAGGATGTAAGGATAGAGCAAAAGATGATATTGCTGGAAGTACAGGGAGAGAAACAGACGATATTGCTGGAAGTAGAGAGAGAAACAGATGATATTGCTGGAAGTACACAGAGACAAACAGATGATATTACTGGAAGTACAGAGAGAGAGAGAGAGAGAGAGAGAGAGAGAGAGAGAGAAACAGATGATATCGCTGGAAGTACAGAGAAAAAGATGATATTGCTGGAAGTACACAGAGAGAAACAGGTGATATTGCTGGAAGTAGAGAGAGAGAGAGAGAGAGAGAGAGAGAGAGAGAGAGAGAGAGAGAGAGAGAGAGAGATGATATTGCTGGAAGTACAGGGAGAGAAACAGACGATATTGCTGGAAGTACAGGGAGAGAAACAGACGATATTGCTGGAAGTAGAGAGAGAAACAGATGATATTGCTGGAAGTACACAGAGACAAACAGATGATATTACTGGAAGTACAGCGAGAGAGAGAGAGAGAGAGAGAGAGAGAGAGAGAGAAACAGATGATATCGCTGGAAGTACAGAGAAAAAGATGATATTGCTGGAAGTACACAGAGAGAAACAGTTGATATTGCTGGAAGTAGAGAGAGAGAGAGAGAGAGAGAGAGAGAGAGAGAGAGAAACAGATGATATTGCTGGAAGTACACAGAGAGAAACAGATGCTGGCAGTAAAGAGAGGGGAAAAGATGATATTGGTAGATGTCCAAAGAAATAGAGAATATTAGTGGACCTGTAAAGCAACATATTATATTGCTGGACGCACAGAGAGAAATTGTTGATATTCTTGGATGTGATAGAACGGATGGTATTGTTGGAAGTTTAGAGAGAAATAAATCGACAATATTGCTGCACAGAGAGAAACAGATGATATTGCTGGAAGTCTAGAGAGAGAGAGAGATACAGATGATATTGCTGGAAGTATAGAGAAAAAGATGATATTGCTGGAAGTACACAGAGAAAGTATAGAGAAAAAGATGATATTACTGGAAGTACAGATGTGACGGTTACACACCTGGCCCAGTGTGTAACCGTCACAAGTGGTGCCGTGACCAGGATCCGACACTGGGCCAGGTGTGTAACCGTCACAAGTGGTGCCGTGACCAGGATCAACCCTGGACAACCGTCAAGTGGTGCCGTGACCAACGGATCAACCCTGAGACAACCACGTCACATATGGTGCCGTGGTGACCGAGGATTTCAGCCCTGAGAAGACCACGATCGACCGCCGTTGCTGAAAGTTCAAGCAGAAATCAGAACGACCCGGGACCAAAGGAAAAGAAGGAACAGAATCGTCTGTAAGGTAGGACACCTTGTTTATTTCCCTACCTCGATTTGCTATTGCTCTCTGTAGACATGTCAGATTATGAGTCGGATGGAGCAGTGGGGGGTGAAGAAGAAGTAGGGCGGGGGTTGTCAGTGGATTTAAGGGGGGGCTGTTGGGTGGACCGAGGGTCCCAGTGTTTGATGGTAGTGGGAAGGAGTTCAGGAACTGGCTGACAATCCTCGAAAAGAGCCGAACCATCTACGAGCTCTCGGACCAGGAAACCCTGTACCTGACATACGATGCCACAAAGGGAAAAGCGTCGGAGTTCGTAAGGGGACTCTTGGAAAATCATCCCCGCTTGGCCTGGGAAGAAGTAAAAAAACTGCTGACCAAAGAGTTCGCCGACGAGGGTACGGCCATAGAGGCCATGAGGGCCCTTTTAAAACTAACACAGCTTCGGGAGGAGACCCCGGGAGAATTGGGGGCCCGAGCGGGAAGGCTATCGTCATTAGCATTCCCCGAGGTGGTCAGGGACAACGCAGTCATGCAGGCCCAACTGGCGGACCTGTATGTGGAAGCTCTGAGTGATGAGCGTGTTCGGCACGACGTCCTGAAAGAGGGACCGCTCAGACTGTCGGCAGCGATAGAGCTGGCCAGAGAGAGCCAGGGGTATGGGATAAGGTGAAGAGGTGTGGGAAGAAGCAGACACCAAGTCAGGAGGCTGGAAGAAGGGGGTAGGCGGAAGAACCCCGTATGGAATAAGAGGGTTAAGGAAGAGGTGGATCGGGCAGAAATATGGGAGGAGGACCCCAATAGAAGGGCATGGTCGACCAGGCATGGCTTTTATAAGCCCACGCCGGGTCGATATGGGCTGGTCTGCTGGACCTGTGGGTACGAGGACCACAGGGGGCGGAATGTCCGACGAAGTGGGGATTGCCCCCAGACTTCAATCAGGACAGATGCATCAGGTGTGGTAAGAAAGGACACCTGGCCAAGTGGTGCGGGCTGAGGAAGGGTGCCCCACCGATATTAACAAAGAAGGCCGAGCCCAAGAGACCGGCCAGGGGGCCACCCCAGAATTAAGAGGGAGGGTGGCCCAGTTAAAAAGGAGAGAAATAAAAACTTGGACCAGTGGGTGGGCGAACCGCTTGAATAGAGGACGGGTTCCCCCGAGGATAGACACAAGGCCAACCCAGTTAAAAAGGGAAAGAGCAAAATGTTGGACATGTGGTCGGGCGGGCCACTTTGCGGCAAGCTGTCCAGCAAGAAGGTGCTGGTTTTGCAGGAGGCCAGGACACCTGAAAAGAAACTGTATTCTTAGAAACGGCCATGGGAGACCGAGAGAGGTCCGGCCGGGGTCGCCCAGGTGCAGGGGGCGCAGAACTCCACCTCATAAAAGAAATGAAGATGAATTATTATTACCGGCGCCTATGGCTGGGTTAACCCAAAGGTGGGGACCCAGGAAGAAGAAAGCCCAGGTGTTCTCTTCGCTAACGCAAGAGAGAGAACTATCCTGTAAAGCAGAGATAGGTGGTAGAGAGATGAGGGCCTTAGTGGACACAGGAGCATCTGTGTCATTGATGAGAGAGGAGACATACAGGCGGGTGAAACGGAAGAGAAGGTTACGGGAAGCGGACATAGAGATCACGCAAGCAGATGGGGCCCCCCTGGAGATAAAAAGGGATGGTGAGGCTCCCGGTGTGAGGATTGGGAGGGTGAAAAGCACCCCAAAATTTTTATGTAACCCCCGACCTATGTACAGAGGCAATCTTGGGAGAAGATTGGCTCCGGAGCCAGAGGGCCCAGATTGAGTTTAATCCTACTGTGTTGGTGGTGAACGGCGAGAGAACGCCATTGGGATGCCCACCAGAGGAAGAGATAACCATAGTGGTGGAGGAAGATGTAAAGTTACCTCCTAGGACCGCAGTGTCGGGAAAGGGTAGGCTAATGTCAGAAAAAAAGGTACGGAGAGGACCTCTGCAGTTGGTCCCTGTAGAAGGAAAGGGCCTAGAAGGATAACGAGGTAACCCTGTGCGAAACGGTAGTGGAGGCAGCCGAGTTGGTGCCCATAATGATGGTGAACCAGGCCCAAAAAGACAATAAAGGTTAGGGAGAGGGGAGAAGATGGGAAGAGCACTTCCCCTACGAACTCTGAATCGGGTGAGATTCGAGGAGGAACGAAGGAAGCTAGTAGAGCAAACAAAAGGAATCTTAGATGAGGATATATTAGCACCGGATCAATTTAGAACCAGAGTGGGGGGTCTGTTAAGGAACAATCGAGATGTGGTGGCCCAGTCAGACAAGGAGCTAGGTCAGACCCACACAGTCGAAATGAAAATCGACACCGGAGACCACCCCCTGTGAAATTAAAACCCTACCGAACACCTATACATAAAAGACCCCTTGTAGAAGAGGCAGTAGAGGAAATGTTGGAAGCTGGGATGATCGAAAGATCGATCTCTCCTTGGAGCTTCCCAATAGTAATAGTAGGTAAGAAAGATGGCGGCCACCGTTTCTGTGTAGATTTTAGAAAGCTGAATTCTATATCGAAGCCGTTGGCGGTGCCATTGCCATTGATAGACGACATTTTGGCATTATTAGGGAAGGCAAAGTACTTCTCTACGTTGGACTTGAGGTCCGGGTATTGGCAGGTAGCCCTGGATGAGGCTGACAAGGAGAAGGCCGCATTCGCGTGTCACCTGGGACTGTTTCAGTTCAGAGTGATGCCATTCGGTTTAGCTAATGCCCCGGGAGTCTTCCAACAGCTAATGTCAATAGTGTTAGGAGGATATGAGAGCTTTGCCATGGCGTATTTGGACGATATCTTGATATTTTCGGAGACAGTGGAACAACACTTTTTTCATTTAGGACAGGTGTTGGGAAGGTTGAGGAAACACGGATTAAAATTGAAATTGTCAAAGTGTCAGTTTCTGAGGGAAGAAACTAGGTATTTAGGCTTCGTCATAAACGGAGACGGTATTAAACCCGACATGGATAAGGTAAAGGTCATAAGAGAAATGCCAGAGCCTAAGACCGTGAGGCAGGTAAGAGGTTTCATAGGAGCTATAGGCTACTACCGACGCTTCGTCCCGGCATTTTCAAGAATTGCCATACCGCTGGTGGCCCTGACGAAGAAATACGCTAGGTTCAAGTGGACAGAGGACTGTCAACGAGCATTTGACTCGCTAAAGGAACAGTTGACCACCGTTCCACTGCTGACGTACCCAGACCTCAGCAAGCCCATGATATTATACACGGATGCCAGTGAGCAGTGTGTGTAGGGGCAGTACTTACCCAGCCGTGTCCTGATAAGGAAGGACCAGTGCCAGGCATACCAGAGGAAGTACCGATATACTTCCTCTCCCATAAGCTCTCAGAGACACAACAGAGGTGGCCAGTAATAGAGAGGGAAGCATATGCTATCATGTATGCTCTCCAAAAGCTGGACTACTATTTAAATGGTGCGGTCTTCACTATAAAGACGGACCACAGGCCTCTGCAGTATCTATTGCAGGCAGAGTGGACAAATAATAAGAAAAAAAATTCAACAGTGGGCACTTAAGTTAAGTGGCTACCACTGTAAGATAGAGTATTTGGCAGGAAAGGAAAACACGTGCGCAGATTTACTCTCAAGAATACCGAAACAACTGGAAGAAAGATCTGTAAAAGGGTAGAACAGGGGAGTAGATGATAAAGCCTATAGAATAGGAGTAATTAACTCTAATAAGCTAAAAGATCGCCCTATATTAGAATCGGACGAAGAAGGGACGCCCAGATAATAACCGATCCTTACTGGACAGAAGGAATTGAGAAGGAGCAAGCAGACAGTGAAATAGCTGCTCTAAGAGAGAAAAGGTGAAGTCAGGAGAGACCACCAAGTATGCCATAATAGAGGAAAGACTGTATTATCTCTCAGGAAGGGGATGAAGAAGTCAAACCCAAGTTGTATGTGCCCAAAAGTTTAAGACCAGAGATATTGGAACAGTGCCACGAGAGGTTGGGTCACATGGGAATTGATAGGACATGTGATCTCATAGGAAGAAATACTATTGGCCCAAACTGTACGGAGAAGTCACTAACTATGTTCGAAGTTGTGTAGTGTGCCAGTCGCAGAGCAGAAGGCAGGAAATGGCACCCTTGGAGGAAACAGACGTACCCAACTTCCCCTTCGAGAAAGTGAGTATGGACGTATCAGGACCATATGGGGAAACTGCACAAGGAAACAACTATATAGTGAGTTTTGTCGATTGGCTAACAAATTGGCCTGAAGCATTTGCAGTACCAGACAAGAAGGCCAGAACTGTCGGGTTGATGTAAGCGAAATCTTCCCTAGGTATGGTGCCCCTGTGCAATTGGTAACAGATAATGGCACGGAGAATGTGAACAGCATCATGAGAGAGGTTTTGACAGGTTTGAATGTAGAGCACATAAAAAACATCCCCATATCACCCCCAGGAAATAAAGTGGAAAGGTTTGATAGAACCTTGGGAGATGTATTGGCCAAGTTGGTCAGAGAAAACATTGGAAATTGGGACTTGTATTTGACGCAGGCTCTGACGGCCGTGAGGTTTACGATAAACGAAACCTCCAGATTTTCTCCTTATTTTTTGTTGTTTGGCAGAGACGTGGTCCTGCCTGAGATAACCTACTGAAGCCCCGAAGAAGGTATATGGGAGA